TAGGCATTTATAGATTATGCTAGTAAAAGTGGCATATTATGCTAGTAGCATTGCTTTTTTTTTGGCCAAATTATGCTAACATTATGCTCTTTTTTCCAAATTATGCCACCGTTTTTTTAAATTATGCTCTTTGAAAAAATGCAAATAAGTCCAAAATATATATTTTTTAACTAGAAGCCGTTCGTCTACAGGAAAGAAACGCAACAAATCCACAATGAATTTCAAATAAACATGTGGTTCAGGTTAGACCCGGGCTCAGGGCTTCACAGTGAACTACAAATGCTACTAGTTTAACAAAAACTTTAAATATCGATTAAGGTCACCAAGTGCTCGGGACTAGAGACAAAAATTATCAAATAATGGCATCAAAAATGATCTGATAATTATCAAAATGCGCAAATTATGCTAGCATTGCTACTTGGCAGAAATTATGCCAGTTTGCTCAAATTATGCCAAAAATTATGCTAGCATAATCTAGAAATGCCTACTCTGTGGATCCACCCAAAACGTAAGACATTAGCTTACTCCCCAACAGCTTAAAATAAAATTACGGATGGTTGCATCTCGTGTGTTAATAGAGTAAAAAATGTAGTTTCCCCATTCGTCTTTTCAGCTCCAAGTGAACCACCTTCAAACGTCACAGGCGTGGTTCCAAGTTCCACGTCTCTGACACTAGACTGGAAACCAGTTGACCCTCTGCACATTAACGGTGTCCTGCGTGCCTACGTCATTACCTACTTTGTCACAAATTCTCCGCATGTCACGCGTCAAAACATCTCCATACCTGTCACAAGTGGTCGAAAAAGACGGGCTATCAGTGACCCTTCCTCGCAGAGCTACGAGTTGAGTGGATTGAAAAAGTACACGACGTACACAATACAGGTCATGGCATATACTGTTGACTATGGAGTGCCAAGCGACGAAGTGAATCTTACTACAGCACAAGATGGTAAGATCTATTTATTTACTATTTATTTGCGATTTATAGAAAAGTTGGCCCAGTTTTTCTCTGAAGCTGGTTTAAATAGGGGCCTATATTTACAGTAACAAGGCCAAACCAATGCACCATTTTTCATTCCGGAGAAAAAAAAAGGGGCACTAATGAATTTTAGGGAAACCTGACGGAATACTGAGGGTTTACCATCGATGAAATAGCTTCTTATTTCGGATGGGTATCTACCCTCCCAGTCGCTTCTTTCCCAAGAAAAACATGGTAAACTCGAGAAGCAATGCGTGACAGTCCCAGAGGCAACTTTTGCTCTTAACTACCCCGTTTATTTTTCACCGGGAGAGTCTTGCGTTCTTTACAGGTGTTTACGCTTGCCCACGTCCACAGATAATTTGCTTTTCCACGTAAAAAAGCATCTACAAATTTATAACGCTGATGGTGCTTTGTAAATCTCAAGAGTAAACTGATCGCTTGAAAATTGCTCTCAAATGAATTAAAACCTCGACCACGGACTCCGCCATTTTAAATATTTCTTTGGAACCTTAACCTGGCCGTTTGTCTGTAACATGAGAGTGTTAAAGTACATTTAAAGACAATTTCAGAGTGGCTAGATTTCTCCTAAGATCAGTTGTTGCAAATTAATATATGCACATTTTGAGGGTGGAGATGAAAATAATATGGTCTCTAGGGAACTATTCTCTCTTGATTCGTAATAGCACATAACAAACGACGATGATTCAAATGAAGTCTCCCAGTAATCGGATATCAACAAATAAATTCCCTTTACAGCGAGATGTTTTCTACGTGTAATTACGCGACTCGTTAAGTGGTCTTACCAAGCCAAGAAATTTATGTTGACTTCTCAGTCTTTAGATTGATCGCTGTTACAATATGCATGTGGGGAATGTGGAATACGCACAGAGAACTCATCGCAAAATAATATGTATTATGCAATATGTTAACTGAGTCGCTAGAAATAATTAACCCGTGGTATTCGTGCATGCAGTTTCAGATTTATTCATTCGAAGTTTAATGTAGTTCAGATTGTAATACAGTTTGATCTTGTTAATAAAAAGTGTATGGTAGAGTAGCATGAGGAGAGAACTGTCTTGTTTCATAGAAAACGGTTGCTTCGGCGGCAAGGTTTTTTTTTAATCTTATGTCTATTTCTTCTCTGTTACATTTGATACATCAAGTTTAATTTAACTAAATGGGAAACTTCTCATTGTGTTCAGTTCCCAGTAGGTCACCAACGAATGTGACTGCCTTCAACACAAGTTCCACTGCCATCAACGTCACGTGGCTTCCTGTCCCTGACGATCACGCGAATGGCATAGTTTTGGGATATCTTATACTTTACAGAGAGGCAAACAAACCTTTTGAACAATTAAAAAATATTTCAATGTGCGCACGTCTCCTTGAAGTAGAAATAACAGGTTTAGAATTCTTCACGAATTACGAGATTCGAGTCTTAGCATATACAATCGTTGGAGAAGGAAACATTTCGCATCCTGTGTTCTGCATGACAGATGAGGATGGTAAGTTGACTTTATTCGAGGCAAAGGGAAGTTTTCAAATGCCGGAGTATCAAGGGTGACTCTGGGTTCCTTTGGTTTTGGCTTACTTCGCTCTGTAATTGGTCTAGGAAACTCGCACCACCATCTCAACCAATCAAAATGCAAAACTAAAACCAATGCCAGGTTAGTCACTGGCGTTTTCCCGCGCTTTGAGCAGGTTGCCTGTTAGCACTTTGAGTTCTCATTGGTTAGTGATGCCGTTAACCTTTGCTCTTATTGGTAGTCGTGATTACTTTGGTTTTGGTTTTATGACACTCATTTAAACCCTTGAAAAGCTTTGATACGAAAAAGATGGAAATTAAGCATTACTCTTCTCATGGATACGAAACGAAAAGATAGTAGAAGGAGGGACTGGAGAGGAATTAAATTCTTATTATCTTCTGCTTTTCTCCCTCTTTCATACCCCTGGGAAATAAATAGCAAAATCCTTTTCCTCGCGCAATCGCGTGACGCGTGGTAAAGTTTTACTGTCTCACGTTTTTCGATGCTAAGACGGCTGAAAATTATTTTGAACCACGGTGTACCCTTTCTAGCACGCCATAGCGTGGGTGGGAGAGCCAGATTTTCTTTTTATTTCTGAGAGATAACCCCGTGTTTCATTAACAAACAGGCGGTCTGAATGGCCAGTTCTGGCCGATAGAAAACGGAGTGAGAATCGTTTGCTCATTTAATTTTAGTCCCAGAAGGTGCACCTGTCAACCTGTCAACTCTTCCTGCTAACACGACAGCGATAACAGTTAAGTGGCTTCCAGTCGCTGAAGAGGATAGAAATGGCTACATATTGGGTTACTGGGTCTCCATAAGCAACATCACTGGTGAATTTATCAAAAATGTTAGTGTTTATGGCTCTGATATGCTGACGATCTTGGGAGGACTGGACATCTGGACAAATTATAGCGTCCAGGTTCGCGCGTTCAATGTAAAAGGAAATGGTCCCTGGAGTGAAACGGCACGAGGAATAACTGACGAAGAAGGTACGTAACAACAGACTTTTCTACTCTCTATTTTACAGGAATGCAAGATATTTTTTTCCCTGCCTACCTTTTTTTTTTATTGTAGCACGAGAGCTGGACACCATTAACAAACCAAATCACACGCATGCTCCCTAGCCCTTTGCACTTTGCTCTCTCATTCAGATCCCTCGCAAGTTTCTGTAAACTGAATAAATAAATCGTAAATAGTAAGAATATCATAACTCACGTGGTACTTTTGTTATTGCTGTTGTTTCTGACATTTTCCTGGCCACATTGACGGCAAAACGAATAATTCACACCAAGACAAACAACACATGATGGCGGAGACTTGACAGGATTTGTTTCCTACGCTTGTTGGTTAAGCTTCCAAATCTATTTTATTTGATCACTGATTAGGTTGTTGTGCTACGTTTGTCTGATTGATTAGTCCACTGTCTTACAGATTGACTGACTGACTGGATCCCAAGCTGAATCTCTAACTCACTGACCCACTGAATCACTGTCTCACTCATTGACTGATTGTCTGAAAGGGTGACTCATCGACTTACTGACTGACTGGCTGTTGGATTGATTGATCGATTGATCGATCAACTGATTCTTGTCGATGCTATCATATCATCTTATTTCTCCATACAGTATCACCCCTAAATCACACATTAAAGTTACGAGAATAGACGAAACAATCACTAAAGTAGCTGTTGATTGTTAAAGCAATTCTCCTTACGAGGACCTTAGGGAATGTAAAGCGAATGCATATATATGTATACATATCCCAGTTTGGAGAATATGCGTGTTGATTAAGGATTGAGGAATTTTAACCTCAACTGTTAGATCTGCTCTGACAACTGGGCTCAGAAAACTCGTTGACGATTGGAGCCAAATTGACCAGGTTACTTCCCGTTGAATAGCAAAAACAGGCTAGAAGAAGCATGGTGAATGTGATTAATTTCAATTGCAGCTCCGCGTGTTGCTCCATCAAACGTCACCGCGTTTAACACAAGATCAACAAGTCTTCGTGTCACGTGGCAGCCAATAAGCACGCAGGGTCTAAGAGGCATTTTGAGGGCTTACCGCGTGTATTACATCGAAAAAGAAACCTACTTTATACGATCTCTAAGAAATGTGACAGTAGACCGCAACACTTTAGAAGTGGAGTTGGTTGATCTATACAAGTTCACAAACTACTCTGTGTACGTTGTGGCAAGAACGAACAAAGACGGAGTGAGCAGCGAGAAAGTTAATATTTCGACAGACGAAGACAGTAAGTAAATGTAGTTTTCAAGACTCGGTCAAACCTTTTTTTTCAAGCCAAGAAGCATTGCAATGTATTTGAGACTGGCACGAGGCAAAGAGAATCTCTGCTTCCTAAAAAAGCCTATTTTCTGTGACAATCCAGAATATCAGCAAAGATGCTGATCAAGTGAGTTTCTGCAGGAAACTTGTCACTAGCGGGGAAAGCATCCATAAAGAACTCGCAAGTTAATGTTCCGCTTACCCATTTGATGTATTGATAAGCTGTACCTCTCTACTCAGTTAGCACAGGCAATATTTCTTTGGTTGCTTTGTAATTCTACTTTTTATGCGAGTATAAACTAATCGTAAAGCTCTATGAAGATACTTCATCTTCATCTCTTTAAAGATTTAAAATCAGGTAGTGACACTTGACTTGAACCAGGTAATTCTGCTACTTCTTGTTTGCAGTTTGTCATGGATAGTCGCACATTGATCCTGTTTTTTGTTTTCTTCTTCTTCTTCTTCTTATTTGTACTTAACATTTTAAATGCAGCACCTGGCCGAGCACCAGTGGACGTGGTGGTCGGGACACCTCATTCAACATCCATTCATGTAAGCTGGAATGAAGTGCCCAATGGTTACAAAAATGGGATAATCAGAGGATACAAAATTAATTACACAGAACCACAGCAAAACGCTCCCGTTGTGACAGAAGACATACCACCTTTTGAACGCTCGCTAAGTATCACGGGACTAAAGAAGTTCACATTGTACAACATAACCGTTTTGGCGTACACAAGTAAAGGGGATGGTGTACCAACTAGCACAGCTATCATGACAGATCAAGATGGTACGTCTTGTGATAAATATTAAGGTCTGAATACAGGCCGTAGGATTGTAGTTCAAGCTGTGAGACCGTTTTCTTTTATTGAGTACCCACCCCACCCGCTGCAACTTTGCTTGTCCCGCTTGATGGAGGTGATAAAATGTTCTCGCTCAGTCATCCCTTAATTCGCTCTTACATTTTATTGGTCGATACAAAAAGGTGTCGAACTACCCTCGGTAGCAGCAATAAAACCATCTGCGAATTGGTAACTTGTGGTTACCTGCGTTTGAAGGCGGTTATGATAAAGGAGAAAATTCAATAATGCCCAAGGTAAATCCGATTTTACTACGAAGGATTCTGAGTTCATTCCATACCAAGCTAATTTGTTTCTTTGTTGCGAAATGGACAATTGCATCGAAGCAAATCAATTAAGTGTGGCAACTAACAGTGGTTATTCAAGTAGTGATGTGAATATAATTAAATACACAGGAAGCTCTTGCAATTGTTTCATAGAATATATGTATATAGGAATATATAGGAATATATATATATAGTAGCAAATGGACTACTCAAGTGACGCACATATGGATTTTAATACAGCCTGTTTCGTAGACCAACAAAAGTTGATCCACTCATCAGTTAAACTCCATACACACTGAGGCATCGTGGCGGTTAACTCTAACTCAGCAACGTGATCACATAGTCTACGTGATCACGTAGTCCATTTGCTACTGTAATCGCTCCTTCATTGTCGAGCACTGTCATGGATCCTACGTTGCCTATTTCGCTTATATATATTTAACAATTATACCACGAGCGCGCGTTGGAGATGAGATGATAGATAGCCAACTCGGCGCTACGCGCCTCGTTGGCTATAATCATCTCATATCCAACAAGCGCGAGTGGAATAATTGTTTTATTAAAAACGCCCCCAAGAAATTATTATTTTGTAAGAAGAAACTGGATTTTTTAGCTCCCTTTTGATTTTAAGCTGACGCGTACGCTTACCATATTTGTAGATTATGGTATATTGGCTGATATACCATAATGGCTAAGCCAATAAAAAGTCTTGAATTGCATTATCCAATGATCCAGTTTTTAATAAATATATATATATATAGGAATGGGTTGAAATCCTCATCAACTTAAAAGTGCTCAATAGCTGAACTGGAGCGATGAATTATAATCCAAGAGTTGGTTATTCGGTCATTTATTCGCTACTCTGAGTTTCATGCTTCATGGGAAGCAATCATCAGGCGGCTGTCAGAAATCTGACAGGAATCAGTATATATAAGTTGATCTTCAAATAGAATTAGCGTTTTAGGATTTATAAGATTTCAATCTAGTGGGGAGGAAGACTGAAATTTTCAAATATGCTTACACCGAGATCTGCCTCTTTTCTGATTTACAGTTCCTGATGTTGCACCCCTTAACGTAAGAGCTGTCAGTACATGGACTACTAATACAATCCCACTCAGTTGGACACACATTCCAAATCACTTACTCAACGGAATTCTCACTGGATACAGGATACGTTACGAGGCGATAGAAATGGGGGAATACCCTTACGAGGAAACCCCTAGGGAAGTGATCCTTCCCCCAGGAACTGTATCCACCACGCTCACAGGGCTGGAGAGCTTCACTGTCTATCTTATCGAGATAACTGGACTAACAGTCAAAGGGGATGGGCCCAGTGAAGTCCTTTTTGCAGGTAAATTATGTTTAATTGATATCAACGGTATTTCTTCTTCATGTTTTAATCTGGTAAATTAGGCCCAAGCTCTCCCGATCTAATGTTAGGATTTAGCTCTCATAAATGGTGAAGAAATCAGGGTTATCTCTTATTTGGACTGGGAGGGACTATCATCGGAGGAGTAATAGTAACCTTGATGGCACTCTTAGACGCTCTATGCTATGGGAATGGGTTAATAACCGCTTTGTACCGTGGAAATTCAACTAATAACCGCTTTATGCGGTGGAAATTGGACTATTACTCGCCTTATGCTACTACAATAGGCGCAGTAAATACGGATCACTGAACTTAGATGCCTCTTTTCCGAGTCCCAAGGAAACTGGAACAATAACACCCTATTTTAACCAGAAGAAAAGTCAAGTTTAAGACAAGCTGAAGACAGATACGTGTAAGACATATCAAAGCGTCTCTTTTCTCAGAAACTTGCCGATGCAGGGAGCGTCTAACAACGAACTGGATGGTACTTGATCCTTATGTTACCCCGTCAAAATCAACGACGCAACGACCAGGAGGCCTTCTGCCACGCTTTGTAGACGACATGGCAGTCACCTGCTGCCAGACCTGCAAGACTCACGGAGAGTCTTACGTCGACTTTGAATTCAACGGACAAGAAGAACGTGCTTTGCAACACACGGAAGAAGCTCTGAGGTTGAACATACTCCACGCAACTGACTTGACTTTCCCTGTGTACGGATACAAGTTACAGGACAACTTCAGACATGAGTTTGGCTACACGGGGATAGTGGAATCCCCCGGGATTGCTTACGTAATAAATACTAATTATGGTAACAAGACTCCTACATCTCTGGTACATGCTGTTTTCGCCTGCTGGCCGTTAGCTCTACTGGGGATCTTACTGGCTTATATCTTTGGATTTATGATGTGGGCTCTGGTAGGTAACAATACAATACAATACAATACATATATCTTATTAACCAAGCGCGAGGGTCGTACTGGGAGAATATCGGCCCGAGGTCTTGACAGTACGGACCGAGCGCAGCGAGGTCCGTACAAAAAAGACCGAGGGCTGATATTCTTCCAGTACGGTCCCGAGCAAGCTTGGTTAATAAGAGATTTATTATACGACTGAAGTTCAAAGGGACACAAGTGCGGTATCATTCAGGACCATTCGGGACAGCGCCCGGTCCAATACTGAGAGAATATTTACCGTCAATAGAGCATTTTGATTGGTTGAGTTTAGTTATTGGCCCTCTGACTGCCCAAGTCGTGTAATAAAATACAATACAATACATAGCTTATATAGCGCAACGCTTCTCAAAGATCCAGCAGCGCTTTACAATGATAGTGATAGAAAAATGTAATCAATTAAGAATTAAAGTGAATTAAAAAAACTAAGGAAAAATCAATGAGAGAAAAACTACAACTGCCTAAATAAATGGGTTTTAAGTATAGACTAAATGTTGTCAAAAGGTAACAGACCGATTTATAGTTAATTGGTGAAAAAGTCTGAATTGCATCGATCGCGCTTCGTTTTGCCTTTTGATTTGTGTTACTCATAACATTAATCTTTGAAACTCACTTCGTGCTTCCCTCCCCACCCCGCTCAGTCAATCATAAGCACATCTAAAACCAATCGGGCCATGGTTACCGGCGTTTTCGCGCGCTTTTATCCGCACTCAAGGGTGCTTTTAAAATATGTTTACTTAAAACCCTCATTGGTTCCTTGTTTTTTCTGATTACCTGTGGTAATTACCGTGTGTGCGTTTATGTTTTACGATACCCAGTTGAAGTGCATTCTGTTGATTTTAGCTCACGTCTTCAAAGCATTAACGTGGACTTCGGTCCAAAGGTCTTGTCTGATTTTGAATATTTTTAGCAAGTAGCTACAATACACTCCTTACTCCCCATAAAAATTCGTCACGCCATGAAAACTAGAACAGTGATGGTTTTTCGGAAATCACTAAGATCTACATTAATATAGGCCTCAACGCGAATAATTTCTCGATCTATATGATAACATAGGTTTCCCGTTTTCACGTTAGTCACCTCTGCCCTACTGCGGGAGGCATTTTTAATTTCGAACAGAGTTTGAAAAAGTATTTCAAAACTATTTTCCTCGAAACAAAAGTACGGTCTTAGTTATTATGCTTCCTTGTTAGCGTAACTTTCCTACCAGGTTTTACTAAGAACTATACAAAAGAACAAGACACAACATGAGAAGAAGTTCGAACGGTTGTTTAAGCTTTTTCATTTCATTTATAAAGAGCATTCTTTATTTTCAGGATCAGGCACAGAACACCGAACACTTTCCTCGCTCGTTCTTCTCCGGAATTTGGGAAGGATTTTGGTGGGCGTACGTTTCCATGACAACTGTAGGGTATGTATCGTCGAAAAGTGCGGAAAGTATTTTTATACCTTATATATACATTTATTCGTGTAGGATAGTATAGTGAAGAAGGGGGGACAGCTAAGAGACTGCTATGCCTCATAGGCTGAAGTTGTTTTTAGACACAACGTTTCTGGTCGCTAGGGAAGTTGCTTGATTGCTTTTGTACAGAACGAACAGCATAGACACCGCATAGTATACTCAGGACGTGAGAAAAAATAATGAAACAGTATTGGTTATTTCAGGATCCTCTTACCATTTCCGACAAATGAGGGTGATCTAAAAACAAATATGGTGGAATCGCCCTGAGAATATGTTCAAAACTTACGTCTTCCTTTTTTTTGGGTTCACTCCATTTCGCGCCTGGGTAAACTTTCACTCAGGTCAGATCATGGTCAGAGTCCAAGTTAAGGTTACTTATCATTTTTCTTTCGATAGCTTTACCCTCCCTTCCTGCTCTAAGCTCTATTTTTGTGTATCCTGCAGAGGCGCACCAGGAGAGTGTCCAGGGGTTCCGGAATCCCCCTTCCCATCAGACCCAACGGGTTTTTCACCTCTTGCAGCGACAGGGTCGCATGTTACCAAACAGTATAAATTATACAATATTTATTTGTCTTAAAAAAAAATCTATGTTTTCTGAATTACAGTCTGGAACCCCCCCTCTATCGAAAAAAACCTGGATCCTCCGCTGATCTGAAGCTTCAGTAAAATCACGTTTTTCCACGTACTTATGCGAGCTCTTTGAGCCTGCTAATCTTCCGGAAGTGAATGGAGTAAAAGTAACTCTTTGTTGTATCATTTATAGTTATGGAGATCGCACTCCCTTATCAAACGTGGGCAGGATCGTGGCTATAATTTGGACATTGGCGGGTGTGGTCATCA